ACTGCTTTCAGATTGAGTAAACAGTGCTATACATTTGAAAACAACAATGGACTAGCAGTACCATACCTCAGAATAGTCAGCTGTTTAGACTTTCTCCAGTCTTCCTTCAAAGCTTTCATTTGCTTTATTAAAGAAGAAACAAGTCTGCTTTTGAAGAAATGGACAGCAGAGAGGTTTGAATGCAGGTCTAAATGATCCAGCTCCTGCCCTCTCATGAGAGGTACAAGGAAAACAAAGCACTTTGATAAGTAGAGATGCTTATAGACAAACTTGTAGTGGAACTTCCTAGGGATTGCCTCTTTATAGTCTGCTTCAAGGTATTCACGTCTGGCTATGCCTTTGAGGTAAAAGTATCCTATAACAAGGCTTTGGCTTGTTACTTCAGTAAGTAAAATCTCTCGAGTAAGGATGTAAAATGGGTATTACTTGTGTTGAAATATGCATTGTGGCTGTTTCTACTTGGGCATTTGTGAAGTTTTAGAGTAATACTTCACAATCTTTAATGTACTCGTGCATCCCCTATAACTCTTGCTATAAAGTACGCATTCTGACTCAGCAGGTCTGGGGAGGCCTGAGAGCATATACTGTGAAAATGCTCCAAGGGATGCCAGTGGTGCTGGTCCACGGACCTCACTTTGGGGGAGCAAGTTTCTAAGAGATAGCCATCATTGGAGGCCCCTGGTTTTGCTTAAACATTATACCTCCTCTACTTCAAACGCCCCTCCTTTAAAAAAAATCTCACTGTCTAGGTTTGTGCCTTTCTTTAAAGTTGGTAATAGCAAACATGCCATTCTTCCTCACAGTAAAACAACGAATTGCTCATACACCTCACTCCAAGCCAAAGAGTTCAGATATATTTGAAGCAAATTTTTCAAATGATGTAACATCCAAGGATATGCTTGCTGATCAGGAACTCTGGGCTCGGCTTGAAGAATTAGAGAGACAAGAAGAATTGCTGGGTGAACTTCATCGGTAGGTCATGGCAAATGATTTTTCAAAGAGAATTGCTTTTTTAGAACTTATATTTTCTCATTTTTCTCCCTCATTATATAATGAAAGGTTATGAAGGATTATACCAAAAAAGATAGCATATTATTTTAAAATATAGATATGTTAAATACCAACTGTATTTAATATAATGTATTAATTAATAAAAATATATTGCCATTAAAATAGAATTTATTTTGGCAACCAAAATCGATTCCCTATGTTCTGTGGTGCACATAGCTATACATGTTCATGTACATAAATGGTTAAAAAATTCAAAATCCACATTTAAAAAAAATTACAATATTTCAGCCACAATTAATTAGTTACTTAATTTTTTTTTAGAGTTTGAGATTTTTTTTAAAAAACACCATTTTATTAACACATGATTCAGACACCATACAGCTTAATAATTCAGTGATCTCAAGAAGTGTTTTACAGTTGGTACCACACTTTGGTTTTAAAACATTTTCTTCTGTCTTGTACTCCTTGTTATTAGCTCCCATTTACCCCCCAACATCCCTCTGTACTCTACAGGAACTTTTAATTTGGTTGTGTCTCTATAGATTTACTCATCCTGGGTTTTATATAATGAAAAACAGAAAAATATGTAACAGAGTCAAGAAGGTTATCAACAAGAATAAAATACAACAGAGATTAGACCCAGTTTGAAAGAAAACTTTCTTTGAAAGAAAACAAAATATTAAAAACCAGAGCAATTTAAAATTGTGTCAAAAGGAGATCAAATGTTAAGATTTTAGCCATTCAAATCAGATTTTTCATTTTAATCTACTATAATTATGTCGATACTACTCAGCTAACCAGGCTACACCCATCACTCGATTATGGTCAGAAGGAAATCACTGGAGGATTATTCTGTGTGTAGCTCCTGCAGATGTATTTTGGGCTTCCACTGCAATCCATAGCTTTCTGCAAGTCAACTTCACAGTTTAAGCTCTGATATTGTTCCCTTTTTCAGATTTGGATTATATTATTTACAATCCCTGTATCACACAGGCTGGTGTGCTTCTTCCATGTGGGTTTAGTTGCTGTCTCATTTAGATGGCTGTTTGTTTGAAAACAAACCCTTAAGACCCAGACACTATTCTTTCTTATAGCAGGTCCTATCTAGTTTCATTACCACACTGAGCTGTAGCCCCTATATTCTGTGTTTCTTTTAGGAGAGTATCAATCGGGCCATGTCGTCAGAACTGATTTTTAGATTGGAACTGTGATTAAGTGTGAGCCCCAAATCTATTCCTAGATCTGCACTTTATATATGCCTCTGGTTCACCTTAGAGACATCTTTGCTAGTTTATGTTAGAGAACATTATTAGTCATCTCCCTGGACCATAAGGCCCTTCTGTTTATAGTGTCATTGATTTAGCTCATGGTAATGTATTTAAAACATTTGAGAAAACTGGCTGAAAATTGCAATACATGGATTATTGACATGTACTGATTAACGCCTTAGATGACTTGATACTGTTTACACAAACAATGGGAGTTGGTAGACAGGCAAAACTTAACAATATTCACTGACAATGTCAGACATGGGTCTGCCAGAATAATACATATATTAATAAAGTAAATAGGTCATTGAAGTAGTCTGCCTGTCATCAGTTTAATACTCTTGGTATAGCTGTCATCTGCTCCATATATACCGTGTATTTTCAGCCTTAAGTCTGCGGGCTACAGGTGTTTTTGAGGTAGAGCCCAGTTCATCCAGTGGGGTTTCCAAATCATATCCCTCTGGTATCGCCTTTAAAGTATATTCTGCACCTTGAAAACCAGGGTCCCAGTTTGCTCTGGCATGTGGCCTGCATCCCCAGGGTCAGCCACATTTTTGATAAAATAATCCAAGTTAAAAGTCATGGCAATTGAATTGATTCTGACTCATAGCAACCCTCTAGGACAGGGTAGAATTGCTCCTGTTTGCTTTTCTGAGACTGTAAATCTCCCTAACAAAAAATAGGACATATTATCTATCTAGTTAATTATAATAACTATGGGTGTCTTATATGAGGGGGTTCCCCTACAAAACCCGTAATTTTTTTCTAAAGCTATGCATTAAAATGTTTTTTACAAAACAACCTTATCACCTTCAAAGTACTCTCCATTACACTTAATACATTTGTCAAATTTGTGATTCCATTCTTGGAAACATTTCTCAAACTCATCTGTTTGGATGGCTGGCAGCACCTCCTTCGTTGTTTTTCTTCACCTCTTCCACATCATCAAATTGCCCTTTCATGTCAAACGGAGCGAGGTCAGGTGAGTAAGGTGCGTGGGGCAAGAGAGGCTTGCTGTTTTTGCCAAAAATTGGTGCACTGAAATGACTGCATGAGCAGGTAGACCCCCCTGCTGCCACAAATCAGCCGCCTTTGTCGCACGCTGTTAGCACAGTTTGACCTGGTGGTATGAACTCCCAATGCACTGTCCCGCTCACATCACTAAAACAAATGAGCATCGTCTTGATCTTTGATTTCACTCGACGAGCTTCTGGTGGGCGAGGTGATGATGGCGACTTCCACTGGCTTGATTGATGTTTGCTTTGGGGGTCATAAGAATAGCATCCTGTCTCATCATCAGTAATGAACTTGGGGATAAAAGTCTGGGTCGCTTTGGAACCGTTCTTTCAAAGCATGGCATGTTTCCACTTGATGCTTTGCCCTGGTCATTCAGAACCTGAGGCACAAATTTCGCAGCAACCCCTCTCATTCCTAAGTCTTCCCATTAAATTCGCTGAACTGAGCCCCAAGATCGTCCAGATAACTTCCTCGGCTCGTCGGTGGTCCATTATCCGTCTTCAAGCATAAGTGCATGGACTTTGTAGACAGTCTCCTCTGCTCAGGAAGTTGACAGATGTCCAGAATGAGGGTTGTCATGGACCAGTATTTCACTTTTTTGAAACCACTCACACACTTGAGTTTTTCCCATAGCATAAGGTGACTGAGTTAGTTAATTGTGCCAGCCTGGCCGATAATCACATGTGGTGCTGGTTGAAAGGCGGAGGGATAAATGGGTGGTGAAGCCTCGCCTTTCTAGTTCTCGGGTCTCTTGTTTTGTGATGGTTGCATCGGGTGCAGCTGCCTTAGCAGTTCCCTGCTTCAGCTTGCAAGATGGATTTCCTACAAGACATCCCCAAGGAGAAGCCGCATGGATCTATCCCGATGCAGCCCTGGGTGCTGGAGCAGCCGTGTGGAGACCCCTGCCAGTGCTGAGATGCTTACACGTTCACAGACTCAGCTTTCCTCCTGCAGTCGGCATCATTGCCTCTGTTTTGTGAGGTGGAGGACTTTGTGGACTGGTATTGGGTTAATGTTGGACTTGTGGGCTTGGGCAGCATTGGGTTGGGATGTTTTCGTGATGCACATTTTCTTTGCATAAAACTCTCTTATACGTGAGTTGCTGTGGATTTGTTTCTCCAAAGTACCTAGACTAATACAGTGACCAGATTTTAACATTGGTAAAGCAGGACAAAAGCGGGACACCATTGATAAAACCCAGATGCTGGTGAAATAGCCACATGGCAGCCGAAAACCATATACCCTAGCTTGTTGAGCATTCTTTAAAAAAATCGGGACTTTTAAAAAATGCCGCGAGATGTGGGAAAAATTGTTAAAAATCGGGAATGTGTCGCCCAAAGCGGGACGTCTGGTCACTTTACCATAGCACTGTTCTTGTAAGTTGTGTTCAACATCACAACAGTTTGTGGCATTTTTCCCGAGCAGGAAACAAAATTTCACAGCTGCATACTGTTCTCTTAAACCAGCCATCACAATAAAAGAGATTTAAGCAAAATTGCTTCAATGAAAAATTTCACTGTGACAAACGAGAACCTTCCTAGGCAACGCCACTGGGTTTACAACTCAGAGCGAGGTGCTGGGTGTTCACATAGTGGGAATAAAGCATACTATGACAGCTCTGCCTAGCTTTCTGTTTTTGTTTTTGATATTCCCTCAAATATTATGTTTTTAAGTATGATTTAAATGAAATATTTTAATACCACTCTCAAATATTGCTCTATCTTTGAATCTGTTAAAAAGAGAACTTTGTCATACAGAAGATTGACATGAATCAGAGCCAACTCAATGTACAGCCAACACCACTAAAATACTGAACTGGCTTTTCTTTTACAATTTGTAAAATTTGTAATCTGGTCAGGCATGAGGAGCTTTACCAAACTGTTTGAAACATACATTAGCACCCATTTAGAACTGGCAGCATGCTAACTGAAATCTGTTACTACAGAAACTTCTATATCATTTTTAAAATGGTATATTAAAGAAAATGGTATATACCCATGTGTCATAATTAGTTTCTGTGAAGTTAGCCAAAGCACAAAAGCTCTTGTTAATTTTCTTCCCTCGTAGACCTAACACTGTGATTGCCAATGGGGAAGATACAACATCTTCTGAAGAGGAAAAGGAGGACCCAACCACCAATCTGGATGCAGAGCATCAAGTCACAGACTCACTCATGTCCGGCAATTGTCGCAATGACTCAGAACTTCTCAACGGTCAGGTGGATAGTCGAATGGATTACTTAGTGAATGGTTCGGATTCTTACCACAGCAATGAGGAGGAGGAGGAGGAGGAGGAGGATGGTGAAAATGAACATGATGCTTTAGGAGTTGGAGATAATTCTGTACCAACTATATATTTTTCTCATACTATTGAACCTAAGAGGGTTTGTATATTTTAAATTGATTTTATTATTTTGCATACGACTTGAACATGATAAATCATTTGTGATAGTCTTTAAGAGAATATTACTAGCAGTGATTATCATTATAAATGGTATCAAACAGCAAAACCACCTCTTCTTATTCTGACCAATTTATCTTTAAAAAACTTAAAAAACAACAAAACCACTCCAAGATAACTGCTGTTGCGTCAATTCTGACTTATCGTGACCTATAGAAGAGGGTTTCCTGAACTACAGCTCTTTGGAGGGGTAGAAAGCCTCGTCTCTTTCCAGTATATTTACAAGTGGTGGGAGAGTCTAGTTAGCTAATTAGCTTTGGCTCATTCTTTTCTGAAGCCACAATAGAATTGAGTGTATGGGCTCTGGCAGGGATCAGATTTGGGTGGCAACAACTGTTTTTGTTAGGTGCCATCAGGTTGGTGTCATGGGCACAGCAGAACGAAACATTTCCCTGTCCTGTGCCATCCTCACAACCGTTCTTACGCTTGAGCTCATTGTTGCAGTCATTGTGTCAGTTCATTTCGTTAAGGGCCTTCATCGGTTTTGTTGCCCCTCCAATTTACCAAGCAGGGACTCTGCTCTCCTGACAACACGTCCAAAGTATGTAAGACAAAATCTAGCCACTTCTTCCAAGACAGATTTATTTATCCATTTAGCGGGCCATGGTCCTTTCAATATTCTCTAGCACCACAATTCAAACGCATTGGTTCCACTTTGGTCGTCCTTATTCATTGTCTAACTTTCACGTGCATATGAGACTCTTGAAAATCTAACGGCTTTGGTCAGGTGCACTTAGTCCTCAAAATAACATCCTTGCAACAACTGTAACTCCTTTTGTTTGTTATCCAGACAGTATCCTTAATCCTGCAGGTAATCTTGTTACTTTGGTGTGTTTAGGAAGTTGAAAGTCACTGCATTAATTTTTTAATTAGACTAGGTGGTGGTTTTCTACCTGGGCATAAAATTAATAGAAGCCACATGAGCAAACAGGAAAACAATTGGAAGTTAAATTTACTTATTTTTTCTGACCAATTAAATATAGATAACTGAGGATAATTATAGCTTGAGAGTTCTGGCATTGCAGATTTTAGGACTGACTAGAGATTTTCTTACATAAGGTTTTCAAGCTTTGCTTTAGTATCACAAGGCTTTGATTTACTCCAAACTCACTGTAGAACCCCAGTATTTATAATACAGCAGATTGCCTCTGGTTAAAGGAAAGTGGGCTGCTGTAAGCCCATTCCCTCTGCCCCTTCTCTCTTCCATATACTCCAAGGAGCTTAAGGGAAACTATCTTTCTAAGTCTTCATTCCCAGGGCAACTTGGGGCTCAGAAGCCCATAGAGCTGGATAGTAACAGTACCAGGAATCCTTTGTCTGGGTTTAGTGCTTCTCCTGCAGGATATTGCCTAGATCAGACTCCAGGGTCTCTGAACTCTATTTAATGAAACATATTTAAGACATGCTTGCGATTTCCTACATTGTCCTTGCTCTAATAGGAAGTTATGAAGTGAAATACTCTTATACTTAAAAAACAAAACTATTTCACACTAAAATACGGCATCTTCTGAATTCTTTGGGGAAAAAGTGTTCGAGATAATTACTTAGGAAAAGTTTGTTTTATGATCCTTTCCCCAGGCTTTTGATTTCTTCTTACTTTCAATTAGATAAACAGGAAGAGTAAATCATATTTGCAGGAGTGTTATGAGCAAGAACAGTTACTAATACTGAAAGTGTGGTGTAGATGCTGGAAGAAGAGCTTTAATCCTGAGCAGGCTTGGTTTTGATTTTTTTAGTCCTCTAATTCTGAAAACTAGAGATCTTTAAAATTTTTCAAATGTTTAAATATCTGATGTTGCTTTATGGGAAATTTGATATTGTCACTGAGAATTTCTTTTGGTTACATTGATTCCACCCCCTTTTTTTTCCTTTTTGAAATCCATGATTGAAGCCAATAACTTAGAGTAATGAGGCTATGTTAACGCTTAAAACAAGTCTCGCCTCTGGTTGTGATGAGTTTTCCTTTCTGTAAAATAATAAAATCACTTAAGGCTAACATTTAGGATTAAAGAAGAGTCAATTTTGAGCTGGGAAGCGTGGTATATCTATGACCTTTTTCCAAATATAGCGACTTCTTCCCTTATCTGATAATGCATGTCATTTCAGTGTCAAATTTTTTAACTGCCTCTCCTACTGTTATTTCTTTAATTATAAAATCTATTCGTTTTAGTTTTGGCCTTGATATGATTTTTTAACAGGTTCCTAATTTTTGCTATTGAACTGTTTAGGTTCGAATAAATACTGGAAAAAATACCACGTTAAAATTCAGTGAAAAGAAGGAAGAAGCCAAACGTAAACGGAAGAACAGTTCTGGCAGTGGTCACTCTGCCCACGAGCTGCCATCTATCCGGACACCTGCTGACATTTACCGGTGAGTGCCTGCCCCACTCTCCCCATCTGCATATTTATGGGCAGGCAGGCAGGGTGCACACAGGCTTTCCTTGTGAAGTGAGGTCTTCTGATGGGGCTAGCTTGGTTTTCAAGTAAAGGCTTCCCAGGAGCTGTTAAGTCACCACAGCTTGCTGGTCCAAAGCAGGTGGACTGGCTTTCTCACATTTTTACCCCTTTTGCTAATACTTTTAAACATTCTTGGTTGAGCTTGTCAGGAAATCTTGTGTCTTAATGTCTTAACTACGGAAATGGTTGCTGGTGCTCCTTGTAGTCTGGGACAGTACTTTTCTGCCACAGCTCTTACGTGCTGAAGTGGTTTTATTTTTTTACAGAGCAGACTTTGATCATTTCAGCTTTTTGTTGTTGTTGGGTGAAAGCTACCTATGGTTTTCATGATTCATGTTTGTGAAATAGGCAAACTTTCTTAATGTCTTACAGTGCTAAATCTGTATGAGAGTGTTGGCGATTCAAGTGTCATTCAGAGCATTCTAAATAAAGTCTTGTGCCTTATACGTAAAACAAATCATATCTTTCAGAATAAGTTTTTTTCTGTGGCTGGAAAATTATGAATGAAAAAGTTAAAGGTTTGAATGATCAGTTCAGATTACTTTCTAGAGAAGATATAAGGTATTATAAATTTATCCTCACTTTTCTAATGAGCGTTCTTTGCTGTTGTTTTATTATTACAGAGTCTTTGTTGATATTGTGAATGGCGAATACTTTCCTCGTAAATCAATTCTGAAGTCTCGAAGCAGAGAGAACAGTGTTTGCAGTGACACCAGTGAAAGCAGTGCTGCGGAACTGGAGGAGAGGAGGGGACTGCTGAGGGGCCTCAGCTGTGAAGAAGCCACTTGCAGCGACAATAGTGAGAATATTTTGGAAGAGGAGCATCAAGAAGAAAACTGTCAGGAGAACCGTGTGCCCATGCCAGGAGCACCTGAGGTGAGTTTGTGTGTATTTTAATGTGCTGTTTCATGCCATGTCTCTGGCTGCTGCCATTGTGTGAGGTAAAAGGGTAGTGGTAGCATATAATTCATTTTCTCATATTTCGAGTGGTTTTACTCGCCCTGGTTGATTCATCCCTTCCTTGTGACCCTTCCGTCAGTGGATGTCCTATTCTCTACAGATGGCCTTTGGGTCTCTGCTCCAACCCCCCCTCGTTATCAACAATATGTTTTTTGTTTTTGTTTTGGGTCTTCTGGTGCCTGTTACTTGATTCTGTCGACACTTCATGATCGCACAGGCTGGTGTTCTTCTTCCATGTGGGCTTGTTGCTTCTCTGCTAGATGGCTGCTTGTTTAACTTCAAGTCTTTAAGACCCCAGATGGTATATCTTTTGATAGCTGGGCACCATCAGCTTTCTTCACCACATTTATCTATGCACCTGTTTTGTCTTAAGCGATCTTGTTGGGAGAATGAGCATCACAGAATGCCAGGTTATTAGAACAAAGTGTTCTTGCATTGAGGGAAGGCTTGAGCAGAGGCCCAAAGTCCATCTACTTCCTCAGTGTATTGCCATATAAATATATGTACACAGGCCAATACCTCTACTTTTCTGAAGTGATATATTTACATAGGTTTACACCTATGTTTATACCTCTCTCCTTAGCTTTGCTTCCTAGATCTTTCCTGTTTCCCTTGACCTTCCTCCTGCCCCACCATCATGTTTGCTCTTTTCTCTGCCTCTTAGTTACTCCTCTCAGCTAGGTTGCTATTGCTCCAACACCACTGGGATCTCTGCATCCTCCTCGTTGTTGCTTTTAATTTCCTACTTGTTCCTCTGTCTACGGCACTGTTTGCTCACCACTGTTTTTTCCGCCTCCTAATCTTCTCAAGTCCCTCCAGAACTGGCGGTCCCATTGCTTTCTCCTCGGCTTGCTTCACATGTCTGTCGTATACAGGTAGGCAAAGCAACAATGACAGAGACAAAGCAAAAAGGAAACAAAAGATTGAATGAAAAGAAAAACAAATAAGAAAAGGGGGTAAAAAAAAAACCCAAACATACATGTTAGGTCTGCCCACTGACCTTTATGGCTATCACAATATCTTAATTGGCATATGCTGTATATTTTGGCTAGAAAATCATTTAGCAGCTTATTTTCAAAAAATTACCATTAACCAGCTTATTAGTCATTTTATTTTATTTTTTTGTTCAAGTAGTGGATTTATGCTTTTTTATTTATATTTTTTATTATTTTTAAATATCTTGGTTAAATTAAAAAAGTATATGAGAGGACTTCAACAAGTTCATGGATATTTTCCATGGTTTTTAAGTTTCATTTTCCATGAGCTTTTTGAAGCCCTCTTGTTTGCATACCAAGTAATTTATATAAAGTCCTTCTATGTTTTAGCCTGTGCCAGGAAAACTTAACTTGGTGATGTAAGCATTTCACAATCTGATGAAAGGTATGAACTTTCTCCTCAGAAAAATGAACTCACACTCATACTCACCCACCAACATGCTGCACGTCATTTCATTTGTAAGTAAGGGTTGCGGGAAGCAGGAGACAGGTCCCAAAGTAAGCGTTTCTGGCTATAAAGTACACAGTTGTGTGTTATTTTATTTTTTATAAATCATTTTATTGGGGCTCGTACAACTCTTATCACAATCCATGCATCCATCCATTGTGTCAAGCACATTTGTACATTTGTTGTCGTCATCATTCTCAAAACATTTTCTTTCTACTTGAGCCCTTGTATCAGCTCCTTGTTTTTCCCTCCCTCTTTTCCTCCCTGCTTCCCTCATAAACCCTTGGATAATTTTTAAATTATTATTTTTCATGTCTTAACACTGACCGCTGTCTCCCTTTACCCGCTTTTCTGTTGTCCATCCCCTTGGGAGGGGGTTATAGGTAGATCATTGATCGGTTCCCACAGTCGTATGTTACGACTTCTATTACACATGTTACGACTTCAATTATACCCAAACTTTAAAACAACAACAAAAAAACTAGAATTTCAGTGAGTATTTTAAGTGTTCAATTTAAAGCATAGTAGGACTGGGAACGCATCCCTGCATTATACTGATGAACTGTATGTATAGACAGACAGTCAAGTATATATGAGAAAATTCTACTACTTATACTAAGTGATTCTTGGGTACTTGGGGATGGGGTTCATGAGCATTTTAAGTATTTTGAACTTATTTTATAACCATTTATAGGGGGTGGGTGCAGACTTTTTCCATTTTTCAGAATTTGAAAGTTTGTTGTTTATAAGGACTTAATTGAGCTGGGACTAGAATTTTGTCGCCAAAATATTTCATGAGTGTTGCAAATCTTTTGAAAGAGTCTTTTTAGTGTCTTTTATATTCTAAAGTAGTCTCTCTTTTTCAAAAGCATTTTAAATAACAAGGCTTCAGGCTCATCATGATAAGTGGAGGTTTTAGAAAAGTTAGCTTTGAGCTTTTTTCGAGAACTGGACTCCACCCAAGATTTCAAAATATTGAGAGGGTGGGGGCTGCTTTTGTTGTTATTCTTCCAGTGATAGGATTAGCTTAGAGGGGGGTGGCCTTTTGAATTATTGAAGTATAATATTGTCTAAACTAATTTCAAACATGTAGTGCATAAAGTGAAGGAAAATATATGGGAAAATTACATGTCAGGTTTTAGTTAGAACCATGTTTATAAGATAATAAGATATTGAGAATATCAGATATCTTTAAAATATGTGTAATAGTGCTTTAATTTTTAGACATCTTTGCTTATATTTGAATTACTTTATACACACTTAATTTTATGCCAATTGTGCATATAATTGACCAGTAAACATCCAGCTGAAATTAAAGAATTGTTTTTTGTGTGGAACTGCTTATTAATTTCCACTTTTGAATTAGTTGTATTAAATTTAAGGCCTATGCTTATTCCAACTAGTATCAGAACTTCCCTTTTTTTTAGCTCTCCACTGATTTTTTTAAGTAAAATTGAGGCAAATGTAATTAAAATTTTTCTTTAGTTGCATAAAGGAATTAAGGAGATGTCAATATTGTTGAAACTAAGCTAATGGTTTGCAGGCAGCATGACTGTCATAAAAACAACAACAACAAAAATCCCTACTGCTCTGCCATCGAGGCAATTCTGACTCATTAGGATAGGATAGGGTAGAAAACTACCCCTGGGGTTTCAGAGAACTAACTTTTTTTTAATACAGTTTTATTGGCACATAATCCACATATAATACAACTCAATAGTTCAATCATATCAAAAGTAATTGTACAATCATTACTCCAATCATTTTTTGACCTTTTTTTTCTTGGTTAAATTGCTTTTAAGATGAGTGTGTAATCACCATCAGTTCTAGTGCTCCCTCTCATACGTTATTTGCTCCGTCAACCCCCTCACACTCTCCCATCTT